GGAGAGGGAAAGAGAGATAGAAACATCAATGATGAGGGAGAATCACTGATCAGCTGCCTCCTGCACGCCTCACTTGGGATCGAGCCTGTAACCCGGGCATGTGCCCTGACTGGGAATCAAACTGTAACCTCCTGGTTCATAGGTCGATATTCAACCACTGAGCCATCCCGGCCAGGCAAGCAGCAGTATTTTTTAACAGGTCTCCAGGTGAGTCTATGTCCAGCCAGAGTTGAGAACCACGGTGGCCAACTAATAAGTTAGCATTCTCTGGTGACTAGCGCTGTGATGAAATGAAGCAAAGGGGGGCTGCGCTAGCACGTTCAGGGGCAGCATCTCTGGGCGGCGACATGGGAGGAGACTTGAGTGTAAAAAGGAACCCATCCTGAGGAGATCTGGGTACATTCTAACCCAGGTGTCAGCAAAACTTCCTCTTCCTCCTCTTCTTTTATTCATTTATTTATTTGCCCTTTTGGTCCTTTAAAATGCAAAAGCGTTCTTAGCTGGAGGGCTGTGCAGAAACAAGCCCCAGCTGAATGTGTCCCATTCGAACCACGTTCTAGAAAAAACGGACCAGCAGGTGCAAAGGCACTGAGGCAGCTGTGAGTTTAATATGTTAAAGGAGCGGAAAGGGTAGGTGGGGCTTAGTGGGTGAGGATGAAGAGACAAGGAGGCTAGAGATGTGGGTGGAACTTAAATGTTCTTTTATATATGATGAAAAGTCAGTGGAAGATTTCAAGCAAGGAATGAGTGTGTGTGTGTGTGTGTGTGTGTGTGTGTGTGTGTGTGTGAAGGAGATGCTCCTGTTCCCATCCTCGTCACCGCTACACCCTCCTAACACTGCCACCGGTCTCCCCGGGCAGTTCCCGGAAGGAACAACAGAGCCCGCGTGGCCAGGATGCTGTAGCTGCTGCTTTAGTCGCTTCGCTGCTGCACGTTCCCCCGCCTCCTCCTCGTTCATTTTTCTTATTCCTTTAAATAGGCCACTCGAAGCTGCACGGTCTCATTTTTCATAGGTGATCGACTGCTGAGTGGGGGTTTAGGTAGACAGAGGGAAGGCGCTGATAAGCCGGGCACGGATTCTATTAGGGAGATGCGGTGGTAATTAATGAAGCCTGCCAGTAATTGGGAAGGTGTGGGTCCCCGTAATATCGTAATGATAGTCATCCGTCTGCGCACCGCCCATCACCCGGAGCCACGGAGCCATCCCTCACGGCTCTGATCTCAGACGCATCGCCATGCAAATGCCCCTGACAGGACGCTGTCTCCGGCTCCCTAATTGGCCGGTATAGAGTTGTTTATGGATGTCGTCGGCATTTAGGCCTCCGTTGGAGCTTGTTCAAAAATCGTTAGCAAAGTTGCCTGAACGGCCTTCTCAAATATGTACCCCCCTGTTCCGGTTTCTGTTTTGAAGGCGGTGGAGGTTGGGGATAAAATTAAGCTGCACATTGTGTGGACTGGAGCACTCTGTGCGGTGGTTATTAAGCCGGTTTTGAAGTAAAAACCGATTTACAGTGATTTCTCATCCCGTGAAGATACAGCTTCAGTCTGTGCGGAACGGGGTGCTTTGTTAATAGCACGCCCTCGTTCTGAAGAGCCGTCGAGTACCTGAGCGCCATCCTGAGACGCAACCATTTGCACAAATTATGGTTTTGCATTGAGACTGGTTTCTAAGCATCATCCCCATTTCATTCCAAATGGGTACCTTCGCTGGCCGCATGGAGCACATTCTGTTACCAGTATTTTTTTTGTTCCTGCACGAAAGTGGTCACTCTTTGTCTCCCCCACCAAACTGGAAGGTGCTGTGAAATGCTATAAATTCTTTTCAAAGCCCTTATAAGGCTGCTAAGTGGGCTGGGTGTCTCTGTCATGACGTTTAAGAGGGATCTTTTAACTATTTGGAAAACATGGGAAGTGCCGTTTTAATATATAATCGACACACTTTAGAAGTATTCAAGTATGAAATAGCTCTGTGCAGGCAGCATCTTGATCAGTTCCAAGGCGGAGAGGAGTTTAAGAAGCTCTGGTCTCCATTTCCGCCCCCTGGAGAAAGAGAGGCGTGGGTGCACAGGGCAGCAGAGATTTGGGAGTCTTTATTCCCAGTTCTTCCACTGAGGAGCTCTGTGTGGCGTTGATCAAATCACCTGGCCTCTCTGAGCGTCGGTCTCTCTCTGTCTCACCCGCGCTCAAACGTAGATCTAAGCCTTAGATTCTAAGGCTTCAAATGAGCTAATCGGTGTGAATGTGCATTATATGGAAGGGCTTTGCAATCAGACCTGAGTAGCTTTGCCACTGATTGGCTGGAGAACTTGGAGAAATCACTTCCCCTCTTCTGAGCAGTTTTCACATCTGTGAAATGGGCCAGATAATACAGACTCTGGAGGGGCTGAGGAGCAGAGATAATGGGTTGAAGGCCCCCAGGATGAGCTTGAGACTCCTCCGTTCCTCCTCAGAGGTGTCTGCTGCCCCTGGACACAGTGGAGGGCTGGGCCTGGCATCCGGGCACTCAGTCAACATCCATGGAGTGAATGGAGCAACCATAAGGCATGGTGACCACTGCTCTGCGTGCCTCTGCTGGCTCCTGACCTGACCTTCACACCAGCTCTCACCGCTGCGAGGGAAGCACTGATGCTGCGAGGCCGCAGCGTGAGGACCAGGGGAAGGGGGATCCTGAGAGGTGACCTACCTTGCCTTTGCTGGGACTGAGTTTCCCAGGACGGGGCGCACACCCAGGCCCACCCAGGCCCCCCCAGGCCCGCCAGGCCAGCAGGGATAAGCAGGTCATCCCAGTTCAAACGAAACTCCCTCCCGGCCTCCAGCCCCAGGCTCTCGCAGGCCATGGTTCTCAAAACCCTTCTCTTCCATTTCTAACTGTAGATGAGTTGTGTTTCTCTGTAGAACAATCTGGAATGTTCCAGATCCTCTCACGGAGCAGAAATGGCTGCTAGGCAATGCTCGCTGGCAACAGACAGCTTCACCTCAGCCTCCAGAAAGTTCTGCGGATCCGTGACAGTGGCCGGCGGCCCTCTTACCCACGCGGCTGTGTCCTGTGTGGGGAGAGGATGAGGGGGAAGGCAGGGGGCCTCCAGGCAGTCAGTTGGGCAGGGGCTAACCAGGGAGCCCCGTCGCATTTCGAGGGCAAGCCTGTGGTTTCCTGCCATCCACAGGTAAACAGTAGGCGCCCCGCAGTCACCGAATCTTTCCTCTGTGGACTCCTCGCTGCCGAGGAGGTGCCGAGGGCTGTCGAAGGGTCAGGCGCCCGAGAGCTTCCAGCCTCGGGGGATAAGGGGGGTATGTTGGGGGGCGGGGTTGCTCCACAGCCAGGACTTTCTCACCAAAGGCTCTACTCATCCCAAATGATACACCCATTGGATCACCTGCCGGAAGCCAATGCCAGCATGTCCCAGGGTTGAATCATCTGTAGGTGGCTGAGGGCATTTCCCCAAACCTGAAAAGGATTGTGACGCTCTATCCACTGAGCCAAGCCGGCTAGGGCAAAACACGTTGTTTTTTAACTTAACGAGAGAGAATGCACCCTGACCGCGTCCTTGGCCGGTCGGTTTCAACCTTTCCTTTCTGGCCATTTCTGGTCATAAAGGATGGGCGGGACTTCCAGCGTCCTTTTCACTTCTTCGTTATTAAAAGCAGGATCAGTTAATAAATAATTATGATGCTCAGTTTCCAGGGAACAAGAAGATAAGGGCAGGAACACTTGAGCCTCACAAATTACATGCTACAGTCTAGATTTTCACTCGGAGTGCAGACCAGCCTCGCGCTCCTTTTCGTTCCCGTGGCATAAATTGTTCTAATTATACGTGCAAGAGCCTCCATCCCCGAAGATATGAGTTGGAAGCGTGGTGTCTGTTCTTTTAATTCCGAGAAGCATTTGCAGTAACGTGTTCCCACCCCCCTTGTTTTCAAACTGAATTGTTTCAGTGGTAGCTTGGTGTGTCAGCTTGTAAGTCTATAAAACAGTTTTATACCAGCTGGAGATTCAACATGCTACATGAATACATAACAGTGCCTAACCAAGAAGGTTTGTAATTCAGTAATTAGCTGTAATTAATGAACACAAAGTGAAGACTCATTTACAGTTTAAATTATCACATTAGCTCCTGTCACCCTCTATGTACACAAAACAGCAGGAATTCAATTATTTTTATTCTTCAAAGCTAATTTAAAATTTAAGGGATGCCATTACATGAAATAATAGGTAGGAAATGTAATCGAAATCACTGGGAACAGTTGGCCGTCCTTAGAATTTAAAAAAAAAAATCCGATGGCTGACGATTTGGAAATGTTTTATCATCTGTGAACAGATGAAGGATTGAAATCTCTGCTCTTTTCAGTGTATTTAATTTGAAAGAGGAAGCAAGTTTGGTGGTTGCCGAGTCCTTGTGCGGGGAGGATTATCACGCATAAATGTAAAAGCAGCTGAGAGCTGATAATGCTGTTGATAGTAGCAAGATGACAGCCGGGGAGAATCACATTCCATTATCCTGAGCGGGGCTGAGTCTCGGGCAGCCGCACGGAGTTCCTGGAACTGCCGCCCATTTTTGATGCAGACCTTCGGCCGGGGAGACCCTGCGTCATTGGCACAGTGCTGTCGTCCTAGGTTCTTTGTACACGCATGTGGGACACAGACTTTAACTGACCCGGCACCTCCTCTGTCTCAGGCACCGTTTGAAGGGCAGGATCCCGGCCACACTCTTGACCTCATGGAGCCAACATTCCAGGAGGAAGAGACAGACAGTAGCAGAGGTCCTCCAGCTTGGCTATTGACAGAATCCAGGGGGAGCTTTAAAAACGTATGTGTATCAAGGCCTGGGTCCCAACCCCACGTCATTGAGCCAAATTCCCTGAGAGTCAGTCCCGGGCACCAGTATTTTTTTAATTGACAGAATCCAGGGGGAGCTTTAAAAACGTATGTGAATCAAGGCCTGGGTCCCAACCCCACGTCATTGAACCAAATTCCCTGGAAGTCAGTCCTGGGCACCAGTATTTTTTTATATATTTTTTTTTATTGATTTCAGAGAAGAAGGGAGAGGGAAAGAGAGATAGAAACATCAATGATGAGGGAGAATCACTGATCAGCTGCCTCCTGCACGCCTCACTTGGGATCGAGCCTGTAACCCGGGCATGTGCCCTGACTGGGAATCAAACTGTAACCTCCTGGTTCATAGGTCGATATTCAACCACTGAGCCATCCCGGCCAGGCAAGCAGCAGTATTTTTTAACAGGTCTCCAGGTGAGTCTATGTCCAGCCAGAGTTGAGAACCACGGTGGCCAACAAATATATACAACTAATAAGTTAGCATTCTCTGGTGACTAGCGCTGTGATGAAATGAAGCAAAGGGGGGCTGCGCTAGCATGTTCAGGGGCAGCATCTCTTGGCGGTGACATGGGAGGAGACTTGAGTGTAAAAAGGAACCCATCCCAAGGAGATCTGGGTACATGTTCTAACCCAGGTGTCAGCAAAACTTCCTCTTCCTCCTCTTCTTTTATTCATTTATTTATTTGCCCTTTTGGTCCTTTAAAATGCAAAAGCGTTCTTAGCTGGAGGGCTGTGCAGAAACAAGCCCCAGCTGAATGTGTCCCATTCGAACCACGTTCTAGAAAAAACGGACCAGCAGGTGCAAAGGCACTGAGGCAGCTGTGAGTTTAATATGTTAAAGGAGCGGAAAGGGTAGGTGGGGCTTAGTGGGTGAGGATGAAGAGACAAGGAGGCTAGAGATGTGGGTGGAACTTAAATGTTCTTTTATATATGATGAAAAGTCAGTGGAAGATTCCAAGCAAGGAATGAGTGTGTGTGGTGTGTGTGTGTGTGTGTGTGTGTGTGTGTGTGTGTGTGTGTGAAGGAGATGCTCCTGTTCCCATCCTCGTCACCGCTACACCCTCCTAACACTGCCACCGGTCTCCCCGGGCAGTTCCCGGAAGGAACAACAGAGCCCGCGTGGCCAGGATGCTGTAGCTGCTGCTTTAGTCGCTTCGCTGCTGCACGTTCCCCCGCCTCCTCCTCGTTCATTTTTCTTATTCCTTTAAATAGGCCACTCGAAGCTGCACGGTCTCATTTTTCATAGGTGATCGACTGCTGAGTGGGGGTTTAGGTAGACAGAGGGAAGGCGCTGATAAGCCGGGCACGGATTCTATTAGGGAGATGCGGTGGTAATTAATGAAGCCTGCCAGTAATTGGGAAGGTGTGGGTCCCCGTAATATCGTAATGATAGTCATCCGTCTGCGCACCGCCCATCACCCGGAGCCACGGAGCCATCCCTCACGGCTCTGATCTCAGACGCATCGCCATGCAAATGCCCCTGACAGGACGCTGTCTCCGGCTCCCTAATTGGCCGGTATAGAGTTGTTTATGGATGTCGTCGGCATTTAGGCCTCCGTTGGAGCTTGTTCAAAAATCGTTAGCAAAGTTGCCTGAACGGCCTTGTCAAATATGTACCCCCCTGTTCCGGTTTCTGTTTTGAAGGCGGTGGAGGTTGGGGATAAAATTAAGCTGCACATTGTGTGGACTGGAGCACTCTGTGCGGTGGTTATTAAGCCGGTTTTGAAGTAAAAACCGATTTACAGTGATTTCTCATCCCGTGAAGATACAGCTTCAGTCCGTGCGGAACGGGGTGCTTTGTTAATAGCACGCCCTTGTTCTGAAGAGCCGTCGAGTACCTGAGCGCCATCCTGAGACGCAACCATTTGCACAAATTATGGTTTTGCATTGAGACTGGTTTCTAAGCATCATCCCCATTTCATTCCAAATGGGTACCTTCGCTGGCCGCATGGAGCACATTCTGTTACCAGTATTTTTTTTGTTCCTGCACGAAAGTGGTCACTCTTTGTCTCCCCCACCAAACTGGAAAGTGCTGTGAAATGCTATAAATTCTTTTCAAAGCCCTTATAAGGCTGCTAAGTGGGCTGGATGTCTCTGTCATGACGTTTAAGAGGGATCTTTTAACTATTTGGAAAACATGGGAAGTGCCGTTTTAATATATAATCGACACACTTTAGAAGTATTCAAGTATGAAATAGCTCTGTGCAGGCAGCATCTTGATCAGTTCCAAGGCGGAGAGGAGTTTAAGAAGCTCTGGTCTCCATTTCCGCCCCCTGGAGAGAGAGAGGCGTGGGTGCACAGGGCAGCAGAGATTTGGGAGTCTTTGTTCCCAGTTCTTCCACTAAGGAGCTCTGTGTGGCGTTGATCAAATCACCTGGCCTCTCTGAGCGTCGGTCTCTCTCTGTCTCACCCGCGCTCAAACGTAGATCTAAGCCTTAGATTCTAAGGCTTCAAATGAGCTAATCGGTGTGAATGTGCATTATATGGAAGGGCTTTGCAATCAGACCTGAGTAGCTTTGCCACTGATTGGCTGGAGAACTTGGAGAAATCACTTCCCCTCTTCTGAGCAGTTTTCACATCTGTGAAATGGGCCAGATAATACAGACTCTGGAGTGGCTGAGGAGGAGAGATAATGGGTTGAAGGCCCCCAGGATGAGCTTGAGACTCCTCCGTTCCTCCTCAGAGGTGTCTGCTGCCCCTGGACACAGTGGAGGGCTGGGCCTGGCATCCGGGCACTCAGTCAACATCCATGGAGTGAATGGAGCAACCGTAAGGCACCGTCAGCCTTTAAGAGACGGTGACCACTGCTCTGCGTGCCTCTGCTGGCTCCCGACCTGACCTTCACACCGGCTCTCACCGCCGCGAGGGAAGCACTGATGCTGCGAGGCTGCAGCGTGAGGACCAGGGGGAGGGGGATCCTGAGAGGTGACCTACCTTCCCTTTGCTGGGACTGAGTTTCCCAGGACGGGGCACACACCCAGGCGCCCCCAGACCCCCCCCCAGGCCCTCCAGGCCAGCAGGGATGAGCAGGTCATCCCAGTTCAAACGAAACTCCTTTAAAATGCAAAAGCGTTCTTAGCTGGAGGGCTGTGCAGAAACAAGCCCCAGCTGAATGTGTCCCATTCGAACCACGTTCTAGAAAAAACGGACCAGCAGGTGCAAAGGCACTGAGGCAGCTGTGAGTTTAATATGTTAAAGGAGCGGAAAGGGTAGGTGGGGCTTAGTGGGTGAGGATGAAGAGACAAGGAGGCTAGAGATGTGGGTGGAACTTAAATGTTCTTTTATATATGATGAAAAGTCAGTGGAAGATTTCAAGCAAGGAATGAGTGTGTGTGTGTGTGTGTGTGTGTGTGTGTGTGTGTGTGTGAAGGAGATGCTCCTGTTCCCATCCTCGTCACCGCTACACCCTCCTAACACTGCCACCGGTCTCCCCGGGCAGTTCCCGGAAGGAACAACAGAGCCCGCGTGGCCAGGATGCTGTAGCTGCTGCTTTAGTCGCTTCGCTGCTGCACGTTCCCCCGCCTCCTCCTCGTTCATTTTTCTTATTCCTTTAAATAGGCCACTCGAAGCTGCACGGTCTCATTTTTCATAGGTGATCGACTGCTGAGTGGGGGTTTAG